AGACGGCGTCATCCTCTTCGCTTGTCAGAGAATCCACCTGTCTTCCGAGGGAAAAGTCTGCCGATACATCAAGCGCAAATCTGCTTAAGATGTCCTTCATATCCACACAATGGCCACCAGCTAATGCTGGAAGCATATCCTGGATATGACGCTCAAAACAGACGAGGTCACTAACTCGTTGGCGGGTGAAGAGAGATCGGAGACGTTGGCGCGAGGCATGCCAAGCGTCACCGTCAACGTTGAAGATGCTATTTCCCATGAGTTCAAACCAATCTGCTCTGAAGCGCTGACCCTTTCCAAAGTCGCTGAATTGAGTTGCCAGCATGGCTCGAATATTCTCGGGATCGGCAGTGAAAATTGCACGCGACCCTATCAAGGAGACCTCAAACGTGTATGGGTTCTTCTTCCCCTGGCCTGATCGGAGAAACGCGTTATGCATGAATTTGAGGTTTTGATCCTGTAAGGCATGAGTGGTGATGGACCACAGGAAATGCAAGCCGGACAACACGCCTAATTTAGCGTTAGTCATCACGAATAGTAGCTTGAGATTTCGGAAACTAACCAAACGGCGTATATGACTTGTATCTCGACGCGTGCCCTCCATGACGCCGAATCCTCCTTTCTTCCTCAATGAACTTAGCAATCCTTCGCAGGATGACGAGGAACAGTAGCCCAAGGACAAGCCATTCTGTATACGACCCAAGGAAACCATCCTTGATGTGACTGGGTTTGTTCATAGCTGCGAGTGGCTAAATCTTGAAGAGGTAGAGACTGAGCTCAGGGATCTGGTGGGAGATCCGAGATACAGAGGACTAACACCGAGGAAAGATTTTTCTTGACTTCTATAGCCGTTGATCTCATCATCAGGACAATGACGGATGCCAAATCTGGTCTTTTGTCCGAGATACTCGGTCTTGAAAGCCCGGAAAGCATGCAGTAATTTTTTTCTTGCCGATTGCTACTGTCTTATCGAAATAAGAGATCGAAACATACTTTGACAAACGTCTCGGGGAGAGGGGCGAATTGCGAGTCCGCGGTAGAGCCTGAGGTGTAACCAGTGACATAACTAGACCAAAACGGATGATTCTCTTCGAGGAGGATGGCATGCTGAGAATCGGAAAATGTGTTATGGAGTCGACCTTGCGACCATGGGTCAGCCGGCAGACAAAGTTTGATACAATTGACTTCCGGTATTATGCAACATACCTGCGGAACGTAGCGGAACTATCAGGCGACGGAACCAAGGCAGAGCAGGGGCCTCCTCCGGAGACGATTCCCGGAGGAATCAAACCTTACGACGTGATCTGAGTAGTGCGCTACCACTCATAAGAATTTCGCTCCAAGGAAAGAAAGAGGCTTCGTGGACAGCGTGAGGATACATGCAAGAAAAACTGTTCTGAGACTATTGCAATCACCAAACCTGAAGATGTCGAAAAACGGTTTCGTTGCTCTTTGTCTGATTGGGCTCTATACTATGTACACCATATCGTGTCTCATTCGAAACATCATCATTGCCAAGACTATTGGTATTCCGGTTGTCTGGAGCCCCATAAGCCCCTTCAGCCCATTCTGGATCATCCTCAACAAACGAGTTGCACCAATCTTTCAGCGCCTTCCTCTAGGCCTGGGCGATTGGACCACGTACAATACTCTTGATTGGACATGGGTTGACCGGACACATGGCAACTCTCAAGTTCATGACAAGCATGGCGACACCTTCGCTCACGCCACGCCGAGAGAAGTTGAGATTCACACTCGGGATCCTGCAGTAGCTATTCAAGTGCTTCGGAAGCAGGCGAACGACTTTCCCAAGATAAGCCATTACGCCAGCAAGTGTACACTATCTCATGAGGTCAAGTGCTGCTCTTTTTGGCTGACCAATCTTTCGAAGAAATCCTAGACGTACTGGGCACGAGTCTGGTATCCTCCGATGGCCATGATTGGGCTCGTCACCGGAAGGCGACTGTCGCCACTCTGAGCGACAGGACCAATCGTCTCGTGTGGGCAGAAGGCGTCCGACAGACTCAGCAAATGATTCATCATTATCAACACACTTCACGGGGCCTAATTTGCGATCCTGTGGACGATGTCCGCGAACTTTACCTTCATGTCTTCACTAGCGTTTGTTTCGGCTTTACGTATGACTTCAAGCAGCCCGAAAGAGACTGCATTCCAGAAGGACACTCGCGAAGCTACAGGTACTGTCTCCACACCAGTCTCAAGGATATTCTCATCCTTCGGCTGGTGCCAAGTTGGGCTATGAGATTTCCTTTCCTGCCACAGAGGATTAAGAACTTCCGAGATGCTATGGCTGAGATGCGGCAGTATCTCGATGAAATGATCAGTGACTGCAAAGACAAGCTTAGAGGCAGCAGGGAAAAGACGCAGAATGACAACTTACTGAGCTTTATGGTAAAGAGGAACAGAGATTTGGAAGTCGAAACTCTCATGGATAAATTCAAGGATGATGGATCGCATGCCTTACTGACAGAGTCTGAGATTCGAGGAAATCTATTTACCTACTCACTTGGAGGACATGAGTCTTCTGCACATACGCTGACGTTTGCAATCTATCTCCTGACAGCTTTACCAGAGCAGCAAGCTTGGCTTATGGAAGAGATTGATGAGGTTCTTGGTGGCAGGCCAGATTGGAAGTCGCAGGATGCTTTCATGGATATTTTCCCTCGCTTGAAAAGGTGTCAAGCCGCCATGGTAAGTAGGCCTGAATTCACCTCCGGGGCGATTTTCAATATCAAGTCTGACACACTTATAGAACGAGACACTCCGATTGTACCCTTCGGTCACAGTCCTTCCCAAATGCACCGGGTCGAAAGCAACGACTTTGCTTGTTGGTAGCGAAGATCATCGCATCCCAGCAAACGCCAATGTCTTTGTCAACATGCCTAGCATTCAGGTACACCAACCCGTATGGGGAACCGATGCAATGCAATGGAAACCTGATCGATGGATCATGACAAGCGATCACATGAAGGGTCTGGACAGCGAACAACTCAAAGCACCTCCTGATGGCGCTTTTCTCCCGTGGAGCGAGGGGAAACGGGCTTGTCCGGGCAAGAGATTCTCCCAGGTTGGCTTTGTTGCAGCACTTGCGACTCTCCTCTACAAGCACAGACTTGAAGTCATACCCAATGCTGAAGAAAGCCTCGAAAACGCTAGGGAAAGGATCATTGAAGTTGTAAACGACACTTACGCCGTCATGACTGTCCATATGCACAAGCCTCTCTCTGTTAGAATCGGGGTTCTCAAGAGAAGCTAGGAATCAATATAGCTTCAATTTGAACTATTTTACTTATTGCTTCACTTGAAACCGAGTTACGATAACGTAGAACGCCACTTAATACATTCCCTTAGATACAAGTTATATGTAAGTTAATTGTAAGTTAGATGTTAGTAAGTTATATTTTTGAGATAAATGGGGTTTCCCCCCAATTGAACTACTTCGGTGTCTTTAAATCTCCTTGGTTTACGTATGTACACAGGATCAAGTTGCATGTATAGTTACAGATGGTTCTTCAATCGGCGATATTCACTGGATGACTTGCGCGACGAGTACCTATAACGCTACACTAACAATTTTTCGGGGTATATTGTTGCGCTGTTTCTTGCGCTAAATTGAAGACTCTCATTCTCGTTATTATTCTTGGATATACTATTTCTAGGGGTTGGCAAATCTTTTTTCCTTTGTCGCGGCGACTTTTCTGCAATTTACAGCACATCGGCGAAATTGTTCCTCCGACAACTTGGATCCTAACCACCAACCCCTGATAGAAAGATTACGTGAGGCCGGATTAGACTGGATTCAGGCCCGGGTTAAGGCTAGATCGTAAAAGCCGGAGTCAGGCTTGCTCTATAAAGATCGGCTCTTCTCGCCAGTCATTGAATCCTAGGATAACTGAATCGGTCCGTAATCAATCCTCACACGCTCGATAACCCCAAATATGTCAACCTTCATTACGCCTGCGAATTTTGCGGCCACTATTGGGCTAGCCGCAACCATGATGGGCTCCATCGTCACGCTAAAACCAGAACTCGGCATCAAAATGTGGCACTTCGATGTTGCGTCCTCCGAGGATTTCAAGGATCCAAAATCGGAAAATAGGAGCCTGATCTTGGACGAGCTGCGCTTGTTCGCCATACGCGAGTTCTTCATTGGAGCAAGCCTGTTTGCGGCAGCATACTTCGGCAACCACAAGACCTTAGCTGCGATGTGCTTGCTTGGGGTCCCGGTGGTCACTATTGATGGCATTGTGCAGCGGAGACAGGCACCCAAGGCGGATTGGTGGGTTCATTTTGCGTTGGCGCCGGTGTTCGCTGGGTTAGGTGTTGCGTCGTGGAGGCAGCAATGATTGAGTTCGCTTCCCTCGGGGCGCGGCTTTGGGTCATGTGGCGTGCTTGGCATAAAACAGTGTGGTTGAGTCGAGCACGAGAAACTTTGGATCTTTGGTTGAGTTGGCTGAATCTCAAGTTGAAGCACCTACAGAGGGGAGGGTTTTCCACGCGTTCGCGGCGGAAAGATTTGGCTCTCAAAGTCATCAGCCATGGCTCACACACTGTCAGGGGCTGTCGGAGCATTTAAAGCGGGTATATGAGCGCTAGCTTTGGTCATGCAAACTTCTATCTTTAGGCAATGTCCAGGCCCGTTTCCTCCTCCGCTAGCTTATGATCCTACGCTTGTGACCGGAACGACTGAAGTCCTTCTGTTTCCGCCTCTTCTGTTAGTCGCGCTTGTGGCCCTCCGTTCATTGCAGTCTGCGGTGCTGCGGTGTAAACAAAATCACGAACGATGCCCTTGGGAGCCCACAGCCACACCCGACCGATACCTAATAGATCATGTGCTATGGAAGCATCTCGGGCATGTGCGTCTCCTTAGTAAAATGGGGCAGGAAATCACAAAGTGAAAGCTAGATTAAGGAAGGCTCACAACTAAACATTTGGCCTATCAAATCTAGTCAGGTTTCTTTTGTCAATCCTACAGCCAGCTATATACTTCGAGCCCTCGGTGCCTTTGCCTCAAAGAGAAGGGTTGTCCCAACAATCTGCCAGTCTACGTACTTGAAACCGGCCTTGAGTGGCTCAACTATGTCAGCTGCGTAATCTTTGTTATTGTGGAAGACGCCCAAAAGATTGTGCCAGAACATGAGGAACCTTCCAAAAGCATTGTGTTTCACTCCACCGCCCAATACTGTTGCACCAACCAGAACACCATCTGGTTTCAAAAGCCGACCTAGCCCTGCCATAGCCTCTCCTTTTCGCTTGGAACTCCCAGGGAGACAGTGCAACAATAACATACAAGAAATGACGTCGAACTGTCCGTTGCTACCCATATGCAGAGATGAAGGTAGTTGCGAGGTATGGCGATCGCCAAGCACAAAGACGTCAGCTTGAACTGTGTCAACGATGACGTCGGGATGTGCCAGTTGAATGCGGTGTTGAGCCTCGGCTAGAGGGTTTTGATTGATGTCGACCAGAACGATTATCGAATCAGGAGGAAGAGGCGCCCTCTGCATGAAAAAGCCAGTGCCGACGCCGATATCCAGCAGTCTTGCATTAGGTTTGACAAGGGAGGAAATGTGCTTGCTATAGTGACCTGAGAGGACGTCTCTAGGACATCCCCAGGCTAATGGACAGTAGAAGCCGAGGACAAGGGTATCGTAGAGCCATCGTAGAAACAGTGGGAAATAGACAGCGTTGCCAAGGGTGCTTGCAGACATGGTGTGAGGAGGCGGACGGAATGTGGGGAATTGGAAGCTGTGAAGAGATTCTTTCTTGAATCGGTTTCGCAGAGTTGACAATGTTCAGGGGCATCTACTATGATATGAACCCCAGCACGGCAATACTTCGTATGAACAGTTGCTCTGACACGTTGCAGTATAAGGTTCGAGTTGTGATGCTTTAGCTTGAATGTTGCTTTTTATTAACCGCGCGGCGGCAGGAGACTTCTGTCACGTCGGTAAGCGGATACCATCCCCTGTTATCAGTCGAATACCCTAATTGGAACACATTAACTATGCAGAAGTAAAGACGCAAGACACCCATTCAACAGACCGGCGGATTAAACCGAAGGGTACAAGCCTCGGCAACTAATCCGGGCAGTTGACAGACCTTCTTCTCCAGGCAACTTTTGGTGGTTAGCGCCTGGTGTTTAGGCCATATTAACTTTTACTACTCTTCCACGCAAGTCGTTACAAGGGCCCAGCACGGTAAATTTGGCGGAGTTCAAACCTTCAGACTAAGGTACCAATCGTAGTCTACGATCTCGATCGAGCAATTGAGACCCGAGCGCTCGCACCTTTTGGCTCATCCGTGTACCACGCTTGCTATTGTTGGTGTTCGATCAAGGTTGATGAGATAGCCGCTTCAGTTCCGACCGGATATCTGCCCGTTCTCGCGAGTTAGACTTGAATAGCTGCGCCTTATCGTCTGGAAAGCGGGAAACCTGCTTCCGGACTCCTTCAAATGGTCGATTTGGCGGTTGAGTGATTGACAGCTGAACTCTGACGGAGCTGATTGACGTCGCAATTGTTTGAAACCTTTTGCAGCAGTGGGTTCGCGATTCCGTTTCCAAGGCTCGGTCAGTTCGATCCTTGAACGGCCCAAACCTTCTCAATCTCAGCTGGGCTCTCTCCAGTCAAGGTAGTTATCTAGATGTAGCATGTTGTTGTCAGTCATATCAACAGCAACTAGAAACGCGATTGGATCTTTTTTCGGCGGAGAATCAATCAAGGAAGTTCTCGAAACTGGAATAGCCGCAAGTGTAGTCTGACTGTAGCAACCAATTGCATTTCCACTCTTCCGTAAATATCCATTTTCCATGGAATGTGACGTTCTCAAGTTTGTGTAACTTCCGCTTGAAACCCTTCTTTGCCTCTTTTCCGTGATTATTGGACTATCCAGCATCAAGAAACTTAAGAGCTGCTGCTAAATTAGTATAGAAAGGACCGAATCCGGTAACGTCTTGTTCATGAACAGTCCTGAATCTATTAGGAATCATCGTGTTATCACTCAACTGCGGATGTCAATCCATAATCAACAACATCAAAGTCAAGTTATTAGTATGGATACAATGCAAGACCAGATACAACCTATCGCCATAGTTGGCTTGAACCTCAAGTTCCCTGGAGACGCTACTTCGGCGGAATCCTTCTGGGAGATGCTTGAGAATGCAAGGAACGCATCAAGCAAGGTGCCCTCAACCCGCTTCAACGTCGATGCATTCTATCATCCAGACCCTAACCGTCTCGACAGTGTGAGTTATTGCCTTTGATTCAACGTACGTGGCCAACATCTGATTGCTCTGGAAACCAGATGCGTGTTCAAAACGCCCACTTCATGAAAGAAGATCCGCGGGCCTTTGATGCTGCCTTTTTCAACATGTCGCCAGCAGAAGCATCCATCTTAGATCCCCAACAGCGCGGGCTCCTCGAGGGCACATATCACACCTTTGAAAACGGTATGAGCCGATAGATGGATGTTCTTGATCAAGGCATGAATCACTAATCGAGAATTTATGGAATCATACAGCTGGCTTAGCAATGGAGAGAGTTGCTGGTTCCCGCACCTCAGTTTTCTGCGCCTCTTTCGGCCGCGATAGTGATGCCATAGTGGCCCGAGATCCAGAGTTCCAATCCCGGTACCAAGCAACGTCTTCAGGGTCGTCTATGTTGTCAAACCGCATCAGTCATTTCTTTGACCTCCGAGGTCCATCTTTGACGGTTGACACCGCATGCTCCAGCGGACTGTACGCCCTTCACCTAGCGTGTCAGAGCATACTCAACGGGGAGTCCGACATGAGCCTAGTCTGTGGCTCCAATACCTATCTCACTCCCGAGTGCATGAGTTTCCCCTTGAGCAACGCCGGCTTTCTATCTCCGGATGGTCGATCCTATAGCTTTGACCACAAAGCCAACGGTTACGCTCGTGGAGAGGGATACGCATTCGTTCTTCTCAAGCCGTTGTCCAAAGCTCTGGCGGACGGAGACATTATTCGATCAGTGATCCGTGCCACAGGCGCAAATCAAGACGGGCGGACGCCGAGTATCACCCAGCCCAGTGCTGCCGCTCAGGTTGAGCTCATTCGGAGAACTTATGCTTCTGGAGGACTGGACCTTTCCGAGACCGAGTACGTGGAAGCTCACGGAACCGGCACACCAGTCGGTGATCCAATCGAGGTTTCCGCGATTGGAGAGGTTTTCAGACCTCATAGATCTAGCCCGCTCTGGATTGGGTCTGTGAAGAGCAATATTGGCCATCTCGAGGGTGCTAGTGGCCTGGCGGGTTTGCTCAAGACAGTCTTCTCGCTCGAGAGAGCCATTATACCTCCCATCGCGGACTTTGAAAAGGTGAACCCAGCAATCGACGTCAATGCGCTAGGCGTTCAGTTTCCAACGCGCTCTACGGCTTGGCCTGCCACTCCTTCTGGGATCCGCCGGGCTTCAGTCAGCTCGTTCGGATATGGCGGATCTAATGCACATGTCGTATTGGATGATGCATACAACTATCTTCGGATTCGAGGCCTTACTGGAAACCACCTATCCGTGGCCAAGTCTAATGACTCTTACAAGCCATGTGTTGCGAACAGCAGCACCTCAATTGGAACAGTCGAAGATCAGGCCCCAGACGCCGGCATCTCTGATTCTGTTTCAGATGTTTCTGATGATAGTGGTGTCATCATTGGCTCTGAAGACGATGCTGAGCATAGCTCCATCTCGCTTCTCACATTCTCAGCCGCCGATGAGGACGGTCCACGAAGACAGGCCTCGGCGTTGCAAGATCACGTCGCTACCCAGCGAATGTCGCGAAAGAGAGCACAGAGAGTTTTCCTTGCCGACCTAGCCTACACACTCTCTCAGAAGAGCATACTCAACTGGAGAGCATTTGCAGTGGTCAAGTCGGAAGCGAACATCGGCAACAACCTCGCAGAGATCCTCTCCCCCATTACGTCAGTCTTGTCATCGAAGAGGCCAGAGCTCAATTTCGTCTTCACAGGCCAGGGAGCTCAGTACCCGCGCATGGGTCTCAAGCTGATGCGTTACGAAGTATTCCGGCAGAGTCTGATGGACTGCGACGAGTATCTGCGATCTCTTGGTTGCGAATGGTCCGTCCTCACAGAGCTTCGGAAGGCCCCGGGATCGTCCAGAATTCAAAAGCCTGAAATTTCACAGCCCCTTTGTACCGCTCTACAGATTGCCACTGTCGACCTTCTCCGAAACTGGGATATCATACCACAATCCGTATGCGGCCACTCATCGGGTGAAATCGCGGCAGCATATTGTGCTGGAGCCCTTGGTCGCCAGTCTAGCTGGAAGATTGCATACTTTCGAGGCGTCTTGGCAGGTCGATTGGCATCTGATGCGTCTCGGAGCAAGACGACGATGATGTCTGTTGGCCTCGGTGAGGCAGCCGTACGCCCCTATCTTTCAAACAGGCTCTCGATAGCTTGTATCAATAGTCCAGCCAATGTGACGATTTCAGGGCCGACTAAAGAGATCCAGCTCCTGTTTGAGAGACTGGAGAAGGAAGAGATCTTCGTCAAAAGACTTCCTGTTGATGTTGGATATCACTCTCCGGCCATGGAAGTTGTCGCAGCCGAGTATCAAGATCGAATCCGTGATATTGGCGCACCTACTGGCTCAGCCGCCGAGAGGTTACGCAAGGAGTCTCTCGTATCCTTCTACTCCTCAACCGAGGGAAACCTCACATCTTTTGAGGCTGTGACGAATCCTTCGTATTGGGTAAAGAACCTTGTCTCTCCAGTTCTCTTCTCAGGTGCTCTCGAAGCCATGACCGGATCGAAACATGGAGGGCAACACTTCCTCGTAGAAATCGGTCCGCAGTCAGCTCTCAGACGACCTGTGCAAGATACCTTGACTCCTCACCTCGGCAATAAGGCTGCTAAGAAATGGCAGTACGTCAGCGTATTGAAGCCCAACGTCGATGATGATCGATCATTGATGGAGGCTCTCGGCAGTCTCTGGGCAGCAGGCATCCCGATTTCTTTGTCCAAGCCAAACCAGGAGTCGACTCAAATATCGCGGAAACCGAAGATTCTGGTGGACCTTCCTTCATACCCCTTCAGTCGGTCTCGGGAGTTCTGGGAGGAGAGCAGGCTGAGTCGCAACTACGCAAAGCGTCCGTGCCGTAGGCATGCTCTTCTAGGCATCAGAGACCGTGACTGGAATCCCGAAGAGGGAAGTTGGAGGCACTTGATCCGATCCCAAGAGAACCCTTGGATCCTGGATCATGCCTTGAACGGCTCACCGCTGTATCCCGGCTCGGGTATGCTTGTCATGGCCATCGAAGCCGCCCGTCAACTTGCCACACCAGTTGAAAATCGCATCCGCGGCTATCAGCTAGACAACGTGCGCTTTTTGAGAGCCATTGATGTAGACGACTCAGAGCGCGGCACAGAAGCAAAGATTGTGATGCGGCGCCGTCGACAGGCCACCAACACAAGCGGACAACAGCTCTGTTACGACTGGCGGGTTTTTGGGACCAATGGCGACGACTGGAACGAATGCGCTTATGGAAGCATCAAAGTCGAACTTGAACCGGAGCAAGCCTTGGGATCCGAACAGGCCGCCGCTTCTGAGGCACGTCGGTTCCGCTTCGAGACGTCTATCAAAGAGCAACTTCAGGCAGACGTCGACAAATGCCGTCTGGTCGTGCACCCCAGCCAAATGTACAAGAACATGTCCCAGCGATCAGGTTTCGA